GATGGCCTTTTAGCCTGTGTTTATAAGCCTCCAAGAAAGGAGCTTCCACCATAATCTGAGGCAGAATTTTGCATTGTGGAACAGATCTGTCAGGAAGTTCTTCCTAATGTTCAGGTGGAATCTCCTTTCCTGTAATTTGAACCTATTGCTTTGAGTCCTAGTCTCCAAAGCAGAAAACAAGCTGCTCCCTCTTCCTTATAACTTTTTTCTTTCCAACCTTCGAACAATGCAAAAAAGAAAGGGGTTCGTGAGTCATCAAAAAAACTCACGAAGAAAAGAAGGAGGAGGACATGCGGGGAACGAAACTGAGTTATTATATGTTTGTGTCCTATATATCTCTTACATAGAACCGATAATTGATGCAAAAATGACCACTTGAAACAGCATTTCTAAGTCCTTCGTACTCTTGAGATTACGTCGCACGAGTGTTCATCGCTTACCTCGTGGAGCCAGCTTCGTTGAAAAGGAGGTCTTATAAGAGATTAAAATGGTCGTGTGACCCAGAGGTCTGTGTAATACATGATTGAAGGACACGACATCCTCTGCCCGGATACGCCGAGCAGAAATCAAGAGGCAAACGTAGCAGGAGGATATGAATACGTTTCGGGGGGGGGTATGTATACTACGGAGATAGAGGGCCGTGTAATTGCATAATGAGAAGATGGGAAATGGAAAGCTTGGAGAAGACAATGATGCTGGGGAAAATGGAAGGAAAAAGGAAGAGGGGCAGATCAAGGGCAAGATGGATGGATGGATAGCAAACCTTTTGTATCATTACCTCAATACCCCCATGCATATGGGATATATTGAGTATGGTGATCAGATCATGATATGAATAAACATAACAGTTTAATAATGCACCAGTAAGGCCTTTTCGCGAACCACCATGAGAATTTGGGGGGGGGGGCCCCCCCCCCCCCGGCTACATGCCTGCTCCAGCTTGTCAATATTTCTTTTGAACTGTGGTGCCCAGAACTGGACACAGTGTTCCAGGTGAGGTCTGATCAAAGCAAGGCACCATGACTCCCCTCGATCTAGACAGTATATTCCTTTTGATGCAGCCCAAAATCCCATTGGCTTTTTAGCTGCTGCATTACACTGTTGGCTCATGTTTAACTTGTTGTCCACTAAGACTCCCATATACTTTTCACATGTTTTGCTGTCATTCTTTATCTGTGCATTTCATTTTTTTGCCTAAATTCTACATATCTCTTTGCTGAAACTCATTTTGTTAATTTTGGCCCAAAGTTATTTTTTAATTCTGATCCTGTCTTCTGGAATTTTTTTTTTTTTTGCTATCCCTCCCAATTTGCTATCTTCTGCATACTCGATAAGTACTCCCTCTACATCTTCATTCAAGTCATTAATAAAGATGTTGAACAGAACTGGGCCCAGGACCAAACCCTGAGACACTGCACTATTCACTTCTTTCCAGGATGAAGTGGACCATTGGTGAGCACCTTTTGGGTTCAGTAGCTTAGCCAGTTCCAAATTCATGTAATGGTAATATTGTCTCGCCCACATTTTACTAGTTTATTTGCAATAAGATGGGGACTCCTGTCAGAGACCTTACTGAAATCAAGATATGTTACATCCACAGCATTCCTTGCATCTATCAAGTTTGTAACCCTATTGGCAAAAGTCATAAGATATGGCATGACTTATTTTTGAGAAATCCATGTGGATTTTTAGTGATCACAACATTCTTTTCTAAGTGATTACAGGAGCTTCTCCTTAATGATCTGCTCCAGAATCTTTCCTGGTATTGATATCAGGCTGACTGGACAGTAATTATTTGGGTCCTCCTTTTTCCCCTTCTTGAAGATAGGGGCATTTGCCCTCCTCCTATATTCTGAGATTTCTTCTGTTCTCCAAGAATTCTCAAAGATATTTGCCAGTGGTTCTCAAATGACTTCTGCTGCTGCCTTAAAGACTCTTAGGTGTAGTTCATCTGGCCCTGGAGATTTGAATTCATTTTAGAGTAGCCAGGTATTCCTGGATTACTACTTTACCTATTTGGGATTGCATTTCCCCTATTACCTCTACTGCTCCATATTGCTCAGGTTGAACACCGATCTCTCTTTGGGAAAAGACTGAGCCAAGAAGGTGTTAAGCAGTGTTGCCTTTTCCCTATCCCCTGTTAGCATTTCACAACCTTCTACATGCAGAGACCCTACTGTTTCCTTTTTCCTCCTTTTTCTATGGACATAACCAAAGAACCCCCTTTTTATTTTTTTAATCTCTCTGGCAAGTTTGAGCTCATTTTGCGCTTTAGCCTTTTGGGCCTTTTTCCTTTATGTGCTGGTTATTTGTCTGAATTCCTCTTTAGTGATTTCCCCCCCTTTTCATTTTTTTTACATGCCCCTTTTAATTTGTAGCTCAGCTGATAGTTTTTTGGACATCCATTCTGGTTTCTTTAGACCTCTTATTTTTCTTCTTCTTGTTGGCTCTGTTTGTATTTGTGCCTTGAGTATCTCACTTTTACAAAATTCCCATCCATCATTAACTCCCTTCTCTTTTAGCATTCCTATCCATGGGACCACACTCAGTATTTCTCTAAATTTCCTAAAGTCAGCTGTCCTAAAATCTAGAATGCATGTCTGACTTCTCTTAGTTTCCCCTTTCTTCTGTATATCAAACTCCAAGAACACATGGTCATGCCCACCTAAGGATTCCACCATTTCCACTCCATTTACCAGTTTCTTGGTGTTGGTGAGGATCAGATCCAAAATAGCTGATCCCCTTGTTCCATCTTCTGAACAATAAAATTACCTGTAAGGCAGGTGAGGAATTTGTTGGGCTTTGTACTCTTGGCAGAGTTTATCAGAATAGTTGAAATCTCCCATTAACTACTATACATCTTCCTACTCCTCTAGTATGGGATACTGAGAGTTGTTGTCCAAAATGTGTAGAGAATGGGTTTGTTCAGAAAAGAGGAAACCTCCCACTGTAAAAGAGGCTGAGCCAAGTAGTCTGTAACTGTCCTAGGTTCTTAATATTCCACCCATGTTTTAGTCATTGTTGCTTGCATAATTGGGTTTGAGGAATGGGTGTAGGTTTCAGTGTAGTATGAAAGGGCAAGGAGCATGGCTTGTTCACTCATCCGTCAGTGTGGTCCTTCTTGGGTATCTTGGAAACATACCTCCCCTTCCCACTTTCACCATTACTTCCATAATGGGGAGCCAGCTATCTTTGTGATGGAAAGGATGCAATTAGGAATGTATAGTAGCTGTCTCTGTATCCATTAGCCATTAGCTGCCATTTCAGTCGGACAATGAAGGCTCTTTGAGGGCTCCCACTTGCTTGTTTCACCAGAGCAGCTATATGCAGTCCTGACCCTGCATGTCAAGCATGCATGATGGCTTGCTTGTAGTACAGTCAAGCTAAGGTAGTATTTCAAACTAATTGCCATTTTATCTGTGGGTATCCTGAGTGGGGATCCTGGGAGTTGAAGTTTAAAGAACAAACTTTGTTAGTATTGCTCTTGTAGATATTTCTATAAATAATTATGAATTAGTGGGTGTAGTAGATGACCTTCTCAGTGGTTCCATGTGTAAGGGTGTCCCTCACTAGTATATGGGATTGGGTCATAAATAGCGACTCCACCACCCCCACCTCACCCCCAAATATGTACACTATACTTGCATTGCTCAATATATGATTGGAAGAAATAGGTCACAACTTTTCTTTGTTACATTTGTATATGTGTGTTGGTCTTTCAGATCCAGGAATTGGCCAACCCTTCTGTTGATCAATGAGACTAACTATCTGGCTGATTGCATGAAACTTTGGGATAGTGGGAAGGATTCAAATGAATGGATGCTCTCTGTGTGGTCCTCTTTCCAACCAGTTGGTGCAGGAGATCTGCCGACCCCAGAGCTAGGGCAGATGGACTAATTGCCACATACCACAAATCCCATGAGGGGATCCCTCAGTTAACAATCCCAAAGAGACACTGGTAATGGATGTCCTGGATCATAGGCCAAAACATTATGCCAAATAAAAAAGGAACCCAGCATAGTAGACTATACACCCAGAAATACAACAAGTATGCAGAACCTGTTAACTGTAAGGTGGTTGGGTGGGATACTGTTTCGAAAAGGATTGCTGAGACAGAGATCATGGAAATATTTACTCCTCTGCCACCACTAGAGTAAAACCAAATTACTTCACCAGGTCAGCTAGCTAATGGGATCAAACCTTGATTTAAACCCCCCAAGGCTGTGCCAAAATAAACAGGCTCCTGAGAGGAAGGAACCAGTGAGCTCTCATGGGCTTTGCAGCCATCTCTACCCTCAGATTTGGCTTTGTGTTAAATTGTGCAGTTTGCTTTTTGAAACCCCTCAAGGCAACAATTAGATGGTAGAAACAGGTGATTCTAGATAGAATGACCCACAGCACTGGACTTCTCTAGAGCTGAATTAATGGTACTGTGGTCAAGGTGGCAAACATGATAACATGGTTGTGGTTGATAGTTTCAGATTGGGTGCGTTGGAAAGGGCAGAATTTGGAACGGTTGCCTTTTGGGGAACAATAAGGGAAAATGTTACTTTTTTATGATGAATCTCAGAAATCCACTTTTATTAAATGCCTTCTTGGAGGTATAGTGAAAAAAGTTGTTTACTAGCACTACATATGAAACTAGGACTGATAAGAGCAATCTGAGGCAAAGGATGAGATGACACTCTTCTGTTTTGCTTGTGGAACTTTAGTGGGTGTTTCATTTTAGCATTAGCAACAGGACAGTGATCCTCAGCTGTTCCTCAGAGATTCAGGTTGGTTTTGGTGGGTTTAGAGTAGGCCACACACATGGGTCATGAATATTTCTGTAAATTGAAGAAAATGATGGGGAGCCTCAAGAGAAAAATCAGTTGGATCTTCTGTCTTGTGTGTTTAAAAGTAGAGCTAGTCCTGTTAGGTAGGATGTTGCTGGGTTGAATATACCGTCCTTGCCTATTTTCTCATTTCTCATATTTATTTTTTACTTTTTCTCTTCACAGGGAGCTGAATGGAAACAACATCACCCGCATCAACAAACATGACTTTGCTGGACTGAAGCAGTTGCGAGTTTTGTGAGTACCTTCACAATGTTACTACCCTACCTACCCCCATCATCTCAGAAATGTATTGCACTGTAGCACCGCTGCATCTATTTGGAGTTTCCTTTAACTGCTTGTTGATATAGTATAGGCTTGTACAGTATGACTCCCTTATCTGCCATTACACATACCCATGCTCCATGTGTGTGTGTATCTGTGTGTGTGTGTCCCTCTCTTTGTATGTATGTGTATATATAATAAATCTTTATTTGTACCCTGCCGCCATCTCCTCAAAGGGACTCGGGACAGCTCACAGAAGCACTACAAGTGCCACATGCAGACAACAATACATAAGCACAAGCACAATGACAAAAGTACAATCGATAGCGCATATCCCTCCTTGGAAGTGTTTGTTGGCCTCTCTATATCCTTCAGTGTGATTTTATAACATGCTTCCAGCCCAAGTATACTCATAATATACGGTTTGACATTATCCATGGTTTCAGATATCCACAGGGGGTCTTGAAACATATATCTGTAGATACAGGGTTGTGTCTGTGTCATACTATATTCAGGTCTACCAACAAACATGGACTCTAACACTGTTCTTATTTCTTTTTTATAGGCAGCTGATGGAAAACCAGATCAGTGTGGTGGAGCGAGGGGTGTTCGACGACATGAAGGAGCTCGAGCGACTGTGAGTTTCTCAGGGATCTCTGCACAATATGGAAGCTGGGGATTTGTTTATTTATCATATCAGAAGTAAACCAAGGGTATAGTTGTAATGTATTTTTTTTTAAAAAAAACATAAAGTGTAAAACTTGGCATGGGGATGAGGACAGTAAACAAATAAAAAGAAGTCTCTACTTTCTGTTTCCATTGTGGGGGTGGTGGGTTTTTTGATGCTCAAGGTAGAGCAGAGGTAGAATTTAGCAGAGCTGTGAGAGAATATCTTCATGGCCAAAGGCAGTCCTCTCCCACACCCACATCAAGAACTGTTTCTTTCCACCCCCACCTCCACGCTGACACAAGCAGATGGTGTAAGCACTACGTGTTTTTTACACCCAGCCCTTAACAGCCTGGCTGGCATTTACACCCAGATGCTTCCCAATCTGTTTGCCGTTGCTTTCAGATACAAAATAATTCTCAGCAGTGTGCATTCAGTCAAGGGTAGTGCACCAATGAACCTAAGTTATCACTGCATTTTTATAACATCTGTAAAAAACTACTTCTAAAATTTGTTGTTCTCTTTAAACATTCCCTTTCATTGTTCTATCTTTACAACTAGTAGAAAGGTAGGGGCAGGTCTAATTCTATCCTGGTGAAATATGTATTATTGCATATAATTTCTTGCCTTCCTAATTGCCAATGCCGGGCAAAATGTTGCTACAGTCTTCATGTGTGAAGTTTCATAATAATGATAGATTTCAGTTTACTTCTGAACATTTGAACTGTGTCACTGTAGCAGTTCATTTCATTCTATGTCCACTATCTGACTTTTAACTATGTTCTGCCCAAAATCCTACCTTAAGACGATGCCAGACAAAGTAGTGGTCCATTGACTGATGCTGATCCATAACTCTTTGCATGCCAGTTCATGACGTGTTTCAGGGAAAGAAACAATTATATTAAATGAATACAAATATGGTACAGGTCCCCGGCAGATTGGGGAAGAAATTTGCTGGTCCCAATATCAAATCTATATAAATAAAAATGTAATGTTCATTTCTGGGATTAACATAACACAAAAAACACTGGGCGAATTGACACAAACAATACACCTGTCAGGCCAATGAGTGACCATCACTCATAAAAACACTGGAAAACACAACAGAAGGGACTTAAAAAGCCAAAAAAAATTACATTACAACGCATGCGCAAAACCACACATACACATACACAAAACAGATATACACAGACTGGGCCACAGCAACGTGTGGCAGGGGATGGCTAGTTGTTTAATAAGCTTTGTTCTAAGAGACTGAATAAGAGACTGGTCAGTGATTCAGATCCAGGGGACAGGGTAAGGTCCCACTGTTAGCTGCTGAACTTGCTGGCCAAGAGGTTGGCGGCTCAAATCCGGGGAGCATGTTGAACTCCTTCTGTTAGCCCCAGCTTCTGCCAACCTAGCAGTTAGAAAACATGCAAATGTGAGTAAATCAATAGGTACTACTTGGGTGGGAAGGTAATAGCACTCCATGGAGTCATGCTGGCCACATAACCTAGGAGGTGTCTACGGACAGCGCCAGCTCTTTGGCTTAGAAATGGAGATGAGCACCACTCCCCAGAGTTGGACATGACTAGACTTAATGTCGAGGGGAAACCTTTACTTTTTACAGGCTAAAAATTGGGAGTCCAGTGTTTCAGGCTTGTGTATTTCAGGTTAAGAATATCCTTCCCCAAAATGTGAGTGCTGTGTGTCAATAATAGTAAAACAAACCTTGAAAATTCAAGGTAAGTTGGAAGTAGCTATCTATTCTTGCTAGCTAAAGGGGGCTGTTTAAATGTACAAGTTATATTATTAACACTAGCCTAAATGTCAGGTTTTGTTTCATTTATCTTTTTTGTTCAGTTGCATGAAGAAAGTAACAAATGTGGACCAAGGGAATTGGGGACAGGGTTAATAATGTTCATTAGCTCGCTGCAGAGGGAGAGCATTTCACGATCATTCCAGGCTTGCTGTGCAAATGGCTCAGGCAGAAAGGACTGTTTTAATGAAATGGGATTCAGGAATCCCCCTTCGTCCTAGCTGCTTGTGTATGTCTCTGAAGGTACTTACGATATTTTCTGTCTGCCCTCTTTTTCTCTAGACGCCTGAATCGGAACCAGCTGCACACATTGCCAGAGCTGTTGTTCCAGAATAACCAGGCGTTGTCTCGACTGTAAGTATTCAGATATATTTTGACTTTCGCTTGATGTTCAGTGTTGTACTCTTCTGTTCTTTGGAGGAATCACGTTGAGAGTGAACTGCAAATCTGGAATGGGAATGCAGTAAAACCCACAAAGTTTAAAATGTGAGCTTTGTATCAGAAGAATTAAACGGGGAGGGTATGAAAACAGTTGGACTCTGTGGCATCATTTCTAGGTTTTGGATCTTTCAAATGGGAAGAAATTAATCTTTATTAACTCTACATCTGTTGCTGCCTCTTGAGATTCTGAACACAAAGAGCTGGAAGGTCAGAGGACTAACTGATGTTGGTGCTGACTAGGGGCCCTTCCAGACAGGCCCTATATCCCAGAATCTGCTCCCAGGTTTTCTGATTTAAACTGGATTATATGAGTCCGCACTGCCAAATAACCTGGGATAAACAGAAAACCTGGGATCAGATCCTGGGATATAGGGCCTGTCTGGAAGGGCCCTAGGCATGAGACTCCTTCTACGTTTCACCTGGACATTTCACATGTTTGCCGTTGCCCACATCAAAGCTCCTACATTCATGGGTTAACACAGGTCCTATATAAATTACACTATGTAACAAAATTTGAAACATTTTCTTTTCCTGATTTGAAAGTGTTATTTCCAGTTCAGCTATGCAGTACTTACTTTGCAAGTAGTTGTTATACTCCAGAAACTTCATTTTTGTGTGGCTGCTACAAACAATGTTGAATTGGCTGAGAGAATGAGATATCCATTGGCAACTACAGTAGAGTCTTGCTTATCCAACCTTCGCTCATCCTATGGTCTCTATTATCCAACGCAGTCTGCCTCCTGTCTGGATCAACAGCTGTTTCAATGCAATGTTTTAGTGCTAAATTCGTAAATACAGTGATTACTATGTAACATTACCATGTATTGAACTGCTTTTTCTGTTGATTTGTTGTAAAATGTGATGTTTTGGTGCTTAATTTGTAAAATCATAACGTAATTTGATGTTTAATAGACTTTTCCTTAATTCCTCCTTATTATCCAACATTTTTGCTTATCCAACGATCTGCTGGCCTGTTTATGTTGGAAAAATGAGACTCTACTATAAACCAAAATATGCTGCAGGGCGTCCCACAAAAACAAAGTTTTTGCAGTTTAATAACCTTTTTCCATGACTTTATGATAGAACCAAATAGGAAATGATAATTATAACCCAGGAACAAAAAATCAGCTTACATAGACTTATGAATGCCATGTGTATTGAGCTTTTCTGGAGGCCAATATATGAGGATGTCTGAGATATAGAAATTTAGATGTTCTTAATGTCATCATCATCGTTATATTTTATTTGAACTGGTCAACAGATGATATCAAAAGCCATGCATTGTACATTTTCAAGTATGTTTTAAGGAAGTTCAGGAGGAAGATGTGTCTGAAAATATGTTTTACACTTTTGAATTGATCCCCTTGCAATGAAAGTTTCCATATCAATGGATAGTGAATCTATTTAGAGTTTTAGGTCCCTTACACATCTGTATAAAATCCACATTGAACTGGATTATATGGCAGGGTGGACTCAGATAATCCAGTTCAAAGTGTGGATGATCTGCCTTGATATTCTGGGTTATATGGCTGTGTGGAAGGGCCCTAAGTCTAAACTTTAGAACTTTAAAGGTGCCACCTGGAGTTCTTAATCCTACTTCCAACAAATACATATTTCAAATTCAGAGCAGATTCATGGCACACTTGACACCACAACCCACTTAACTAAATAAAAATGCACTGGTATAGATCAGAGAACAATACAGGAATGTGTAGAATGCTAAATTAGGACCTTCAGTGTCCCTCACAATCTCCTTGAATTCAATAACATCTAGAAATTGTTTTCAGACTTAGCTGCAAAAACGGTGGCTCTCCAAGTAGCATACTGATTTGTTCCTTGTAATGAAAAGCTTAACTGCTTATTTGTTTGTCAGTGTTGTATTTTCCTTAAATAGGGTTTTGCAGTGTCAGAGAAGATCTGAAACTAAGGGGCCCTTCCACACAGCCAAATAACCCAGGGCCCTTCCACACAGCCCTATATCCCAGAATATTAAGGCAGAAAATCCCACAATATCTCCTTTGAACCGGAATATATGGCAGTGTGGACTCAGATAATCCTGTTCATAGCAGATATTGTGGGATTTTCTGCCTTGATATCCTAGGTTATATTGCTGTGTGGAAGGGCCCCCAGAATATCAAGGCTGAAATCCCACAATATCTGCTTTAAAGTGGATTATCTGAGTCCACACTGCCCTATATCCTAGGTTATATGGCTGTGTGGAAGGGTCACCAGAATATCAATGGTGAAAGTCCCAAAATATCTGCTTTGAAGTGGGTTATCTGAGTCCACACTGCCATACATCCTAGGTTATATGGCTGTGTGGAAGGGCCACCAGAATATCAAGGCTAAAAATCCCACAATATCTGCTTTGAAGTGGGTTATCTGAGTCCACATTGCCATACATCCTAGGTTATATGGCTGTGTGGAAGGGCCACCAGAATATCAAGGCTAAAAATCCCACAATATCTGCTTTGAACGGAGTCCACACTGCCATATATCCCAATTCAAAGCAGATAATGTGGGATTTTATTCAGCTGTGTGGAAGGGGCCTTAATAATACAGTGAGGCAAATCCTTCAATGAAGAAGGATTTGGTCAGTGATCAGCTATCTTGTGTGCTTATACCAGCAATTTCAGGCATTACCTTCTTCTTGAGGCAATAGAAATATTGAAGGAATTAGAGACCACCCGCCATAGGCAATGGACAAGTCTGTACTAGAACTGAGATATCTGCAGCAATCCTGTTCTTCCACATACTGAATGCATGGATCAGCACACTCTATCATGTGCAATGCATATGAATATTGCTGGTTCGTGTTATCAGTCAATAGAGTTTTCTCCTGAGAAGAATTAGAGCCAGTAGAAGAAGCCTTTGTTTAAAAGGCTTAGAGAAGAATTGTTTGGAGGTAGGGATAAATAATTACTCTAACTTCCCTTCAAAAAAAAAAAGGAAGTTTAAGAAGGAATACCAGATTGTTTGCAGAAAACAAAGACTTGTTAAATGGGAGTAAACATAATGGAAATAAAACTACTTATTATATTTTGAAATTTCAAGAAGGTTTAGAAAGCTGAGAAATTTGGTATCATTCGGTCAGTGATGGAAACCATTTCTTGAGAAGCCTCTGTATCATGACAATCTTTTCTCATGGCGAAGCAACTTTTCAGCTGCAATTATGGGTTCAACAAACTGAAATTCATGCTATTAAAAAGCACTGAGTGGCAAAACTGGGCCACTGAGATTCATTTCTGGAGCATTTATAGATTCTGGCTTAGTCACATGCATGAAATTTCAAAAGCTGATGAATATATTTGACCATAGTTATAGCTAGAAGGATGTTCTGCAGTATCTCTAGTTTTGAATTGAAATAGCCCTCAATAGGAACAATCAGATGAAAGAATGCAGTATCATGTGCATGGAATGTTTGTCCCATAAATGGACATTGAATGGAAGGGACATTTTGCGACAGTGGTGTCAATTAGTTTTTTTTGTACTAGTGTACTTTTAAAGTACTTTTTAGTATTTGTGTACTGCCCTATGGATTACCTGCTTTTTCCCCCCATGTCAGGAGCAACTTGGGAAACTACAGGTCGCTTCTGGTGTAAATGAATTGGCTGTCTGCAAGGATGTTGCCCAGGGGATGCCTGGATGCTTTACCATCCTATGGGCAGCTTCTCTGTTGTATTATTTTGGGCTTGGCCTCATGTTAGCCGCACCAAGTCTCCTTTGGGGAGATGGTGGCGGGTTATAAATAAAGTGTATTATTATTATTATTCTCTTATATTCCTGCATGGGAAGCTGGAGCTGACAGACAGGAGCTCATCCAGCTCCCCAGATTTGAACTGCCGACCTTTTGGTCACCAGTCCTGTCAACACAAGGGTTTAGCCCATTGCGTCACCAGGGGTTCTGGATTACCTGCTGAAATAGCTGGAATAGGCCATGCATGAGTGGAAATTGAATTTTTATTTTGTGGCGTTGAATATGAAGAATCATTTTTTCCTCACTTTAATTTTCTATTTTTAATGGCTAAGAATAAAACTAAGCAAAGCAGAATATAAGTGATGCCTTTTCAAAAAAAATATTATCATAGATAGATTTGAGGCACAACGTTCAAATAAAATAATTCATTTAGGGAAGTAGAAAACATGATTTCTTGTCTATTCTTCCATACTTTAAAGGTTTATCCCAATAGCATTAGATATCCACCTGTGTATAAAACATGTATTTCTTTGACTTTCTTAATTGAAAAAAAAATCAATGATTTGCATGACAGGTTTTCTTCTATGCACTAGCAGCTGGTAACAAAACATTATCGAAATCATAGGGGGTGGGCATTTGCTGAGGCTCATTATCACATGTTGGAGGGATGCGAAAAGAGCTTCTGGCAAAGGTTTTCAGTTAGAAAAAGCCAATTTCATAATATAAGTATATACACACACATTTGTGGGTGTATGTGTGTGAAGATTGTATGTGCATGCCCACATTCAGTCTTGCACATCCTCCATACATTGAAGGTAGGCACATTAGCAAAAATACAGCTGGCAAGAGAAAAAATACTGGCAGCAACTGACTCATAACTTGAGCTAAGCCTTTGGCTCAGGACAGTTAACTAGGAATTTTGAGCATTTAGTATGAGTCATTTCATTTTCTTGGTTTTGTTCTTTTCCTATCTTGGTCTCTGCTCATTTTCCAGAGCTGTCTTAATATTCAGTTTCTATATCCCAAAGGCTAATCTTCTTGACCCTAATATAGAGGATGGATTTATGAAATGTTCAAATTGATTTTATTGCATGCAGCCTGGATATCCTTGTATAGAGGGGTGATACAATAACACTTCATCCATGAATTTGCAATTAAAATTGTTAAGATAATTATGAAAAATGTTATGCTTGTGACTTTTCCTGTCCACATGCTA